AGATTTTCTCAGATTTATGTTTTATTTTTCTGTAAGAATATTTCACTGATGGTGGTGTTTATTTCTATGCGGAAGCATGTGTGGTCTGATTGTCTCTTTTTTTATCATGTAGCAGCCATTGATATTCATGGTTTAGATCAAGAGTTAACAGATTTTCTCAGTGGGTTAAATATTAAATATTTCAGGCTTGTAGATCTTTTATAGCTACTATTCTTTGTCCTTTTAAGTGTGAAAGCATCCATGAATAATACAAAATAAATTAATAGGCAGGGCTGTTATCAAGCCTGCTGACTATATTTGCTAACACCCTAGTTTAGATATATAAATTCATTATGGTTGCAAAGTGGAAAACTTTAATCCTGCCATATTCTACACAAATAAAATGAAATATATCTATTAAAATAAACTTTCAACCGTGGGCTAGGGTTGTGGCTCAGAGGTGGAGTGCTTGCTTATTATGTGTGAGGCACTGGGTTTGATCCTCAGCACCACATAAAAATAAAAGATAAAGGTGTTGTGTCTACCTACAACTAAATAAATGTTTTAAAAAGTAAATAAACTTTCATCTGGACTTTCTCACTGCCTGCAGTTCCTGTAGCTCATTAAGACTTACAAAGGAGAATGGGTGCCAAGTTTTACAAATATATAAATCAAGGTTATACATGGATTACAGGGCTTGGGAGGGCTGATTCCAAAGCATGTTATATTTGTTCTTATAAAGGGAGCTAACAAAATTGACATAAATTAGGAAAATAAAATAATTTTTTATCAATTCTTTGGTTATCTTGCAATGATACAATTCATACAGGATTATTTTCTATATCTATTTTTAAAATTATGAATTGATTTACTAGCACACTCCAAAAGTATTTAATAAATGTAGTTGTTGTTGTTTATCATAAAATTGTGATATTTTGATTCATCATACTAAAAGTCTGTATTGATACTTGAATTGTCCCATTTGGGGACAGTAGAAGCCTCATCAGATTGTCTCCTTATTCTTACATATATTAGTAATATTTGTAGCTATTGTGAACTTTTAAAATTTCAAAATGTTCCACATTCATCTTGTACATTTTCCACCCTGGGATAGAAGGAGATATTTCTTCTAGGTATCTAAATTTTTTTCAATGATAAGTGGGATTTAGTGATCATAATCTGAGCACTCTAGCACACAGTACTACTAGGGTGGTCACTCTTTCTTCGTTTTTTTGTTAAAGAGGGGCAGGGCATTGCGATTTCATATTAATACTTCCCACTAAAATTCAGAACAGTGGTATTTATGCCTATTTCATCTCTACCATCTTGAATCTGTATCTCTTTTATACCACAACAAACCCTCATTCTCCACATGAACAAATTAACTCATTTGCTTCATTCCACAATACACACATAACACTTTCAGGCTAGTTATCAACACTATCACCATTATGATTATTGGTAGTGTTTGAGTTATTTGCATTTTTTTCTTACCTTCAAAGGAAATATAGCAAATAACATAAGATCTTATGGATTACCTTTTTTTCTGGATGGTTCTGCCACCAACTTGATAATTCAGATTCATTTGTTTTATTTATTTATTTTTTGAGGAATTGCATTTAAAAAATTAATTTCACCTTATAAATACATTAAATATATTCATTTTAAAAGCAAATTTTATAAAACAAGAGAATAAATCCCCTTCACCCTTTTCTTTCCTTCTTCCATATATAACTGCTCAATTTTATTATTTATCCTTACATTTTGAAAGAGGCAAACAGATTTGAAAGAGGCAAATTTCAAAAACATATTTTGAAATTTATATGTGTATAAATATACAATGTATACATATCAATATATATTTATATGTGTATATACACACATACTTGCCTATAAATACTGACACAAATGATTGCATACTTTACCTACTTTTCTCAACCTTGCTTTTTTCATTTATTGATATGTTCTAAAGATGGCTTCAGAATAGTGTGGAGATATTTCTCATTCCTTTTTACAACTGCATTGTAAAAGTATATTATTCTCATGCTATTTTATGAATCATTATTTAAAAATGCATTGTGATGCAATTAAAAAAATATGAGCTCCCAAGGATAATATAGTGGCCATCTAAATCAAAATCTTTCCAAAAATTCTATAGAAACATACAGATAAAAAAGGAAAACAAACCATTCATAAGCATGCCTAAATTTAACTAGGAGTTAAGAATACCAAAAATTTCAATTATATTTTAGTGAGGATATAAATATCTAAAGCCAGCAGAGATAGTACCAGACCTGAACCAGAATGAAAATTTTATGCAGATAGGATATACAATTAAAAAAAAAAACAAAGAAAAAGCATTGGAAATCTAGCACAACCAAAATCACTCCTAGAAAGCAACAGTTCCATCTAGAATGGAAAATATTAAGTTGTATGGGGCATTTATTCCCATTTCCTCTTCTCATTTCCTCCCCCTGATGTTAACTTGTAGTTATTAATAGTTAATCCCAAATGCCGATTCTTCATTTTACCTGCATTAATATGTGTAAGATTAGTGTTGTGGGTAAAAGCATAGGCTTAGGATTCAAGATTACTTAGGATTCGATCCTGTTTATATCATTTGCACACTTTGAAATTGTAAGCAACTTAGTTAACTTTGTGCTTCTTTCCTCCTCTGTAATATATAGATAATAATACTGGTCTCCTAGGGCTGTCTTAAGGGCTAAATTAGATTCGGGGTAAAGTAACAGCACACAGTAAATACTTAAGAACAAAAATATTGTTGTTATTTCTAAGTCTGCAGCTTTGATGCTGAATAGATTTTGAATGGATTGAGAAGACTGAGGTGGGCTAGAGACTGTTGAGAAGCATTTTATTTTGGTCTCAGGATGAAGAATTGAAGGCAAATTATAAGAAGCATTTGGGGCTCGTATTAAACAATATGACAACAATAATGGTCTCAGATTTATGATTCATTAATTAAATTATTCACATTTACTTGATGGATAACAATGGACAATTAACCCCTCTAGGCCCCTTATTACTCTTTCAGAAAATAAAAGTTTGAGAGTAAGATGATCCCCTCTGACCTCATCATTCCAGATTCTTAGATGTTAAAATAAACAAGGAATATAAAAAAGTAATTTGTACTTGGTTTGTGTTTTTACATGTGTATGTATAAGAGAGAGATAGAAAAATATTGAATTAATTTATATTGAGACAAAGTGATTTGCTTATATGTTGATCTTACGAGTTGGCATGTTTATTTACCTCTTAAGACTATTAGATCCTCTTTTATACTCTACTTTCCAGATTATTTCTAAGTATTTGTTAATCCTATCTTACAACTTTTTTGAATTTTTCAAGGAAAGTCTTGTAGGCATTATGATATATAGTGTGTGATTTTTTAAAAAAATATTTTTTACTTGTAGTTGGACACAATACCTATATTTTATTTATTTTTATGTGGTGCTGAGGATCGAATCCAAAGTCTGGCATGTGCTAGGTGTGCGCTGGACCGCTAAGCCACAGTCCCAGCCCCTAGTGGAAATCCGTCTTACTATTTACTTTGTAGCATTACCCGGGACAAGTTACATTTCCTCCAATGTGCCTCCTTTTCCTCATCTTGTCTAATGAGGCATTTCTTTTATTTAACTTTTAAGTCTATTCCTAATAGCCTATGATCCAATGACTGTCACAGCATGTGTTATGGGAGGAGTAGCTGGAATTTCTTAATCTCCTCTTTGTTGTGTTTGCTGTAGGATTTCGGCTGAATGCCTCCTCTTGGCCCATGTTCCTTTTGAAGACGCTAAATGGAGCAGAGATGGCTCCCATCAGGATTTTCCACAAGGTAGGCCGTCCTTCAGCTATCACCAGTTCCAAGGAGCTTCAGTTCAAATACTTACCTCCTTTCAGTTACTGAGGCTCTGGCATCTGCCTTCTGTTTATGCCCTGAAGATGCCTTCTCAGAACCTGGTTCAGTAGAAGACTATTTTAGTACTTATGAGATACCCATTATTCTCAGAGAAGTGTATTAAGGCTACAGTAAAATAGGATTCCTGGTTTTTGCTTTCAGCTGTCAATAATAAGTTAATAATATCCTTTTCATTCTTACCTATAAAATAGAACTTACCTTACCTATAAAATAGAACTTAACAACCTTATTGGGTTGTTAAGAAGCTATAATGTGTTTATTAATAGAACTATAAAATGTAATATAAATATAAAGGAACAAATCTTAAATGGAGTTCTGTAGAGTCTATGTTCTAAATAGAGAGGAAGAAAGGAGACATTTTTGAGTTCCTACAATAAGTTTGGGTCTTTATATATATATACTATTATTATTTAATACCCACAGCTAACTTTATGGATTAAGAATTAGTAGTTCGAAATCCACCCAAACCAAGTTCTGTAGGGCCCAGGCACACAGCAGGTCCACTCCTTTCCCAACAAGGCAGACACACGCCAGAGCCTAGCCTCTGGTGCAGGACTGCCCCTTCTGACCAGTGCACTACTGCAAGAGCCAAGATCCAACCAGAGGGCTCACACAGCCTGTACAGGATCCAGGATTTCAGTAGGCCTGGTTCACCCCTCCCCCAGCAGGTCAGACACTGCCAGAGCCTAGCCTTTTGTACAGGACCACCCCTTCCTACCAGCAGACTGTCATGGGAGGTCAAGCCCAGTGGCCCAGATCCACCCACTCCAACTTACACAGGTCCCAGTCCCAGGATGCAGTAGCATCCATTGAGGGATACCAGCAGGGTCTGGAAAGCTCAATATCAAGGTGAGGTACAGATAATTTGAACATGTACTACAAGAATATAGGGAAGAAACTGTAATATCTCAGATCTACACTTCAAGAAAGGAAGACACATAAACAACATGAAAAAACAAGGGAGAAAAGTGCCCCAAACAAACCAGTACACTATAATAACAGAACCTATGGACAGGGAAGTTGATGAAATGTTAGAGAAGGAGTTCAGAAGGTTCATAATTAAAATGATATGTGAATTAAAGAATGAACTAAATAAGCAAATACAAGCAAAAATTGATCACTCTGACAATGAGATAAGAGAGCAAATACAGGTAGCAAAAGATTACTTCAAGAGAGAAAGAGAGACTCTGAAAAAAAGCCAGTCAGAAATTCTTGAAATGAAGGATACAATAAATCAAATAAAAAACTCAATAGAAGGCATATCCAACAGACTAGATCACTTGGAAGAAAGAGAATGTCAGATAATGAAGACAAAGTATACAATCTGGAAAATAAAGTTGATCACACAGTGAAGAAAGTTAGAAACCATGACAGAACATCCAAGAATTATGGGACAGCATCAAAAGACCAAAACTAAGAGTTGTTGGGATATAGGAAGGCACAGAGTTTCAAACCAATGGAATGCACAATCTCTTCAATGAAATAATAGCAGAAAATTTCTCAAGCATGAAGAATGAATTGGAAAACCAAATACAAAAGGCTTACAGGATACCAAATGTACAAAATTACAACAGATCTACACCAAGGCACATTATAATGAAAATGCCTAGCATACAGAATAAGGATAGAATCTTAAAAGCCACAAGAGAGAGGAATCAGATCACATACCAGGGGACACCAATTCATATCTCAGCAGATTTTTCAATCCAGACCCTCAAAGCCAGAAGGTCGTGGAACAACATATACCAAGCTCTGAAAGAAAATGGATGCCAACCAAGAATCTTATATCCAGCAAAATTAGCTTTAGATTTGATGATGAAATAAAAATCTTCCATGATAACCAAAAGTTAAAAGTATTTACAACTAGAAAGCATGCATTACAGAACATCCTCAGCAAAATATTTCACAAGAGAAATAAAAGACAATGATGAAAATCAGCAGAGGGAGGGATTACACTAAAGGAAAATCTAATCAGAAGAAACCAAGAAACAAAAATGACTGAGAATACACATCATGTCTCAATAATGACCCTGGATGTTAATGGCCTAAATTACCAACCAAAAGACATAGACTAGCAGATTTGATTTAAAAAAAAAAAAGATCCAACAATATGCTGCCTCCAAGAGACACATTTCATAGAAAAAGACATTCACAGATTGAAGGTGAAGGGTTAGGAAAAATCATACAACTCACATGGACTGCAGAAGCAAGCAGAGGTTTCCATCCTCATATCAAATAAAATAGACTTCAAACTAAAGTCAATCAAAAAGGATAAAGAAGGACACTACATACTGCTCAAAGGAACTATACACCACCAAGACTTAACAATTATAAATATATATGCCCCAAACAATGGAGCATCAAACAAACTCTTCCCAAGTTCAAGATTCAAATAGATCACAACACAGTAATTTTGGATGACTTTAACACACCTTTTCTACCACTAGATAGATCTTCCAAACAAAAGCTGAACAAAGAAACTATAGGATGCAATAATACAGTCTAACTTAGACTTAACTGACATATATAGAATATTCCAACCTTCAACAAGAGAATATATTTTCTTCTCAGCAGCACATGGATCCTTCTCTAAAATACACCATATATTATGCCACAAAGCAATTCTAAGCAAATATAAAAAAGTAAAGATACTACCCTGCATTCTTTCAGATCATAATGGAATGAAATTAGGAATCAATAAGAAATAAAATCCACTTCAACACCTGGAGACTAAATAGTATGCTACTGAATGAACAATGGGTTATAGAAGACTTCAAGGAGGAGATTAAAAAGTTTTTAGAACTTTAGATTTAAAAAGTTTTTAGAACACAGATATATCGAAATCTCTGGGACACTATGAAAGCAGTGTTCATTGCATGGAGTTCATTCCTTAAAAGAAGAAAAAGTCAACAAATAAATGACTTAATACTACCTCTTTAAAGCCCTAGAGAATGAAGAACAAATCAACATCAAAAGTATCAGAAGACAGGAAATAATTAAAATCAGAGCTTAAATTAATGAAATTGAAACGAAAGAAACAATTGAAAAAATTGACAGAACTGCTGGTTCTTTGAAAAAATAAATAAAATTGACAGACCCTTAGCCATGCTAATGAAGAGAAGGAGAGAGAAAACTCAAATCACTAATATACGTAATGAAAAGGAAGTATCACAACAGACACTACAGAAATACAGAAGATAATTAGAAATTATTTTGAAAACTCCAATAAAATAGAAAATATTGAAAGCATTGACAAATTTCTAGTCATATAATTTGTCCAAATTGAATCAGGATGATATACAGAATTTAAGCCAATCAATTTCAAGCAATCAGAAGTCTACCAACCAAGAAAAGCCCAGGACCGGATGGATACACAGCTGAGTTCTACAAGACCTTTAAAGAAGAACTAATATAAATACTCTTCAATTTATCCCAGGAAATAGAAAAAGGGGGAATACTTCCAAACTCATTCTATGAGGCCAATATCACCCTGATTCCAAAACCAGGCAAAGACACATGAAAAAAAAAAAAGAAAGAAAGAAAGAAAACTTCAGACCAATATCTCTAATGAACATAGATGGAAAAATTCTCAATAAAATTCTGGCAAATCGAATGCAAAAATATATCAAAAAGATAGTGTACCATGAACAAGTGGAATTCATTCCAGGGATGCAAGGTTGGTTCAACATATGGAAATCAATAAATGTAATTCATCACATCAGTAAACTTAAAGAATCATATGATCATCTCAATAAATGCAGAAAGGGCATTTGACAAAATACAGTACCCCTTTATGTTCAAAACACTAGAAAAACTTGGGATAAAAGGCATATATCTCAACATCATAAAGGCTATCTATGCTAAGCCTCAGGCCAACATCATTCTAAATGGAGAAAAATTAAAAGCATTCCCTCTAAAAATTGAACAAGGGATGCCCTCTTTCACCACTTCTATTTAACATATTCTTGAAACACTGGCCAGAGAAATTAGATGAAAGAAATTAAAGGGATACACTTAGGAAAAGAAGAACTTAAATTGGCACTATTTGCAGATGATATGATTCATACCCAGGAGACCCTAAAAGTTCCACCAGAAAACCTCCCAGAACTAGTAAATGAGTTCAGCAAAGTAGCAGGATATAAAATCAACACTCATAAATCAAAGGAATTTCTGTATATTAGTGACAAATCTTCAGAAAGGGAAATGAGGAAAACTACCCCATTCTCAATAGCCTCAAAAAAATAAATAAATAAAATGCTTGGGAATCAACTTAATGAAAGAGGTGAAAGATCTATATAATGAAAATTACAGAACCCTAAAGAAAGAAATCAAAGAAGATCTTAGAAGATGGAAAGATCTATCTTGCTCTTGGATAAGCAGAATTAATATTATCAAAATGACCATACTTCCAAAAGCCCTATACAGATTTAATGCAATTCCAATCAAAATCCCAATGACATTCCTCATAGAAATAGAAAAAGTAATCGTGAAATTCATCTGGAAAAATAAGAGACCCAGAATAGCTAAATCAATCCTTAGTAGGAAGAGTGAAGTAGGTGGCATCACTAGACCAGACTTTAAACTATACAGCAGAGCAATAGTAACAAAAACAGCCTGGTATTGGCACCAAAACAGACCGGTAGACCAGTGGTACAGAATAGAGGATACAGAGACTAACCCACAAAACTACAGTTCTCTTATATTAGACAAAGGTGCCAAGAACATGCATTGGGGAAAGATAGCCTCTTCAACAAATGGTATTGGGAAAACTAGAAACCCATATGCAACAAAATGAGATTAAACCCCTATCTCTCACCATACACAAAACTCAACTCAAAATGGATCAAGGACTTAGGAATACAACCAGAGACCCTTCATCTAATAGAAGAAAAAGTAGGCCCTAATCTCCATCATGT